GCAAGCTTATGACCTCACTTGTGATGGGGTTGAAAAATATCCAAAATCCATTAAAGAAAAATGAAGAATTGGGAGGATAGTAATTTTGATATGAAGAATGGGAAGGATGGTAATTTAGAAATCATGCTAATGCAACTTTAGGTGGGATTGCGTTTTATCTAAACGGAATCACTGATAAAGTAAGGCCCAGAAAGTGAAATTGATGCTCTAAGAATATTTATCACACTCCAGCGCCACGTCTTCACTTACTAAAAAAATATCTCACATATTTCCTAGATAGTCACTCATGTTTGAAAAATTACTTAGTAATATTACTTATGTTTATTTTAGGATTACAATATCACTAACTTTGCATATTTTCCTCAAAATATATTTGACAAAGAAAAAACATTATTCTCTCTCCTATTGAGATGCCATGTCACATTATTCATTTTTAGTAAAAAAATTAATTTTTTTTAAAAATAACATATGTTATATTCACTAAAAATAACTCATTTTTAGTTTTTCACTTTGTCATATTAAGAGATAGACATTTTTAATTCTATTATTACATTTAACATTAATTATTTTTCTAAAATCATTTCTCAATTCATTCATTCATTGATTTCTTAAAGAATATGCAAAGTGCACGCTTTAATGGAATGTTCTATCATGTTATTAATATTTTAAAAAATTAAATTGGAAAATTTAGTTTCCACTCCTTCCGTCCACTTTACATCTTTACTTGTTCAGTATAAATTTGACATATCTCTTAAGGAATAATAAATATAATTTTACCATATCAATCTTTGGAAATAATAAATTTTATATTTTAAAAAATACATTGGCAAATGCTATAATTAATAATAACAGTGAATTAGGAATTAAGTAATAAATTATCACTTGATTTTCTAAAAAAAACAAGTAACAAATGAATAATTATTTATAATGTAATGAATAAATAAAAATGGACAAAGTGAATAGTTGCTAGAAAAAAAATCCGTTAAAGAGTTAGTTGATATAATACTTTTGATTTTTTATGAGTACATGAAAATTATTCTCTAACATCACTTTTTTTTCTTCTTTTTTTCGTTCACTTTCACTTGTTTTAATGTTCACCTTGCGCATTCTATAAGAACTTAAAGAATTAATGATTTGAAAAATAATTTAGAATAAATAATTAGTGTTAATCATAATAACAGAAAATAAATATGAGTTTGTTTAAAAATGTTCACTTTGCATTATGTAATTATTTTTAAAAATTATTAGTAAAAAGGGAATAATATGACGTGACATTCATTAGGAGAGAGAAATATGCTTTATATTTTTGTGTCAAAGTATATTTTGAGGAAAATATGCAAAGTTGGGTGACGCTATAGTCCTAAAACAAACAAAAGTGATATTATTAGATATTTTCTCAAACATCGATGACTATCCAGGGAAATTATCTCGCTTACTGGCACTAATTTTCGAATTTTCATTAAAAAACAATTTAAATATAATAAAAACATAAAAATGTTGAAGAAAATCAATATTATATAGATATTTGTAAATTATAAAGAGAAAAGTATTAAAAATATTTTAAAGTTCAGCGTAAATTATTAGTTTCATTTTGAACTATTGATAGCCTTAAATATACCCCTTAACTTGACTATCTGAACTTAAATACATCTCTGATCTTGTAACATGAGTGAAATACATCCCTAAATTATTGTCAAGTTTAATAGCGTTTTCAACATTTCTCTCGATTTTTCATTAAGAGTTTCATGATCCTACAAAAGCTTGAAATCACTTTCTATGTCATGTAGCATATCGGTGATATATCTAAGTTTAATCAGTCAAATAATTTATTTAAAAAAAATTATCAATAATCGATGATAAAACTAATAATTTGTATCAAATTTAAAAATACTTTCAATACTTTCTTAATTATATAAATAATGTAATTTTTTGTTAATGGAAGTTCATTATGGGCCTTTACTTGCTCAAGCGACCAAGAGAATCTTTGGATTAGTTGGTCAAACCAGTTTTTATAATATTTTTTAATTTATTTGTGTCTTTGCATACTATAAAAAAGTGCTTTTAAGTCAGGTATTTTAAAGCTGAAATAGCTTTTAAAAGGCCAAAAGTCATAACTAAACTCATTAAGAATACATTGGGTTAGTTTAATTGGCGAACTAAATTATTTGGACTATAATTTTGGAGTAATTTATTTTATTTAGAGTGAAATAAAATAATATTCAATTAAATGGGATAAGGTAAAATATCAGGTTATGCGTGTGAGTAAATTTATGCTTGGTTTGATTAAAAGTAAAAATTTATTCGATAAATTCACATTTCTAGCTAAACAATATTTAAATTTTATTTCAAACTAACTCTTCGAAATATCAAATGTTATATTACAAACCGAACGCCACAATAAATATAATAAATATACTACCATTCATGTTCTATTCTGTTTTTTATTGAACTAAAATTGGATGTATTAATAGCTTTGTAATAGTGTATTATATTTTTGTTATAATTTTTTATTTATTTAATTTAACATTATATAAATAACTAGTAAATTTGGCCGCGCTATGCGCGGTTTTAAAATATTTTATAAAAAAATTATTCAAATGTTTTTAATAAAATAAAATTTGTATTTTGTTTCTACAAATTTACAAAACGTTATTTCCTTTTATTTCTATTTTTACATAATCTTTGGAACTTTTATTTTATCTTTTAAATATTTAATTATATTATTATCTCTTATGCACTTGTTATTTGACTTTATTCATATATTTTTTTTTGAATATACGCATATTGTTGTACTTTTTCCTATTTTAAAAGGTTATGAGTATTATACCCTACAAATATAGAAGGATGAATGTCACACCCTGCAAAAATAATAAAGTATAATTTTTTAAGTTATTATAGTATAAACAAAAAGAACAAAACACTCTCTTAATTGTATCAAGTAAATTTCAGATTTATTTAATTTTATATGGTTGCTTGTTTAACAATTTCTACTACAACAATCTATTTGATCCTAATGGTTCATTTTCCGTAATTATCAAAAAATAGTTGCATAGATTAATTTTTCATAACGTAAAATAAGTTATGGCTAAATTGATTTTTCGACACTTTTTATTGTTTTAATACACAAATAAATACAAGAAAATAAGAAACTTGACAAATGTTTTCGTAAGCAATTACAAAATAGAACTTTCACTGGTCCACCACGATATTCATACATCTCTCATATTATTTTCTCACTATTTGTGTCATATAAAAATAATAATTAAAAAAAGAAGATGAACAAGAAAACACTTACTGATCTGCAAAAGGATAATCTCACATGAATGAAACTAATCTTGCTTAATTGATAAATCTTCTCTCTTTATATATATATATATATATATATATATATATATTGTCACTGGTAACATTATATTTTCATATAATCTACAGTGAAAAAGTAAATAGATAGTTGGAAGAAAAAAATAATTTACGATGAACCGATTATATGAGTAATTACAATCAATAATGAAAAAATAATATATTACTTTGTGTTCTTGGTAACATCACATATCTATGTGATCTGCAATAAGAAATTTCAACGAAATTACTATATATTTTTTTTCACGAAGAACAAATTATTACGTAATTACAATTTATCATCCTTATCAATAATCAACAATGAAAATTCACTGTACAATTTTTAGAAATACTTGTGATGAAAAATTAAATAGTAAATTTGTTTGGTAAAAATTGAACACCAACCAAAAGCATGGTTAAACAACTACTTGTACTTGCTCATGTTTCGACTCCTCTGAAAAATCAATAAAAAGATAATTTTAAACAATTAACCTGTAAACAATTAAAATTCATTGCTTAAGGTAAATAAATATGAAGATAAAAATAAAATATTGCAATGCTAAATAGAGAGAATAAAGGAAGAGATATAAAATGAATAAATAGGAATAATGAGAAAGTAGTTCAGAAAGAAAAATAAAGGAATTGTGTCAGAATCATGAAATATTGCATTATTATGTAGTAGAATTTTGAAATGTTGCATTATTTTTTTCATTAAAGGATTGCAATTAAGTGAATATATTTTTTAAATAAAATTTCGTAACTATTTTTTCCATAATTAAGCCACACTAATTATGGAGAAGTAAATGTTGATTATGGAGAATCAACTGAGAGTTAAAACATGAGATAAAAGATGCAATTAAAAATCAGCAAAACTGATAGCCTTTTGGGGTTCTTTATTTTAAGAAAGTTATATTTGATCATTAATTAATAATTAATAATATAATTGTATTAAAAATAGAGAAAAAATGCCTAAATTCTAAGAAAATAGATAAATACCCTTTCTGATCATTGAGGCATGCCACATCAGCGGGATGAAGATACTCCTTTATTATATATATGACATGATTGATATATTTTTGATAGTTTTCACAACTTATGAGAGTTGTAATATAAATATACTACAACTCATGTTCAATTCTACTTTTTATTAAACTAAAATTGGATCAATAAGTATTGGTAGCTTTGTAATAGTGTATTTATACTTTGTAGTTTTGTTATGAATTTTTATTTATTTGGTATAAATTATATAAAGAATCGATATAATTTTGATAATTTTGTTAAAATCTTGAAATGTCATTGAACTATGAAAAATTATCTAAAAAAGTTATTAAACTTTATTTTGTATCAATAAAATCACCCAAATTACATATCAAAACATGATTTTATATCATTAGTTCATCTCAGATGAACAAACGGGGTAATTTCTATTAACAGTATGTGATCAAAATGACTGTTAATCAACAGTTTTAAGTTTTAACCAGTGGTAGCCACAAGTAGTTATCCATTAGCGTCGCAATCGGTAACAAACTAGCGCTTCTAGTGCTCCGTGCACATAAAATTAAGGGTGAAAGCAAAAAAGTAGTCTCCTTGGCCTATAAAAGGCAGCATTTTGTACCCAGAAAATGCACATCAGCTCATCTTGTCTAGTGAATTAAAATTGAAAAAGAATGTCTGCTGAGGTTGAATACAAATGCTTCGTGGGTGGGCTAGCATGGGCTACCAATGATAGAACCCTAGGAGAAGCTTTTTCTCAGTACGACAATGTGGTCGACTCCAAGGTCCATTTGTTGCATAGCAGAGATCAGATCCGATACCATTTTATTTTGGCTTCGTTGATCACCTCATCTCTTTACTCTCTCTGTTACTATGTTACTCTGTTACTGTTACTATTTGTTACTCTTACCCTTATTCCATTCCTTTATACGGTACGTTACGTTGAAGATTAATCGCTTTTAGCTTTTCTAATTGCGTTTTTTTTTCTTTTCAAAATAATTTATGTTCTGATTCATGAAAATCAATTACTAGATCAGTTGTGATTATTTTTGTGTTTATTCATGATCTATGATGTTACAATGCATTTTTAAAAAAATCTGTAATTATGGATCTGAATTCTGATCCTTTTATTTACCGATTTGTTTTTTTCAGATTATCAACGATCGCGAAACAGGTAGATCAAGAGGATTTGGTTTTGTTACCTTTACTGATGAGAAATCCATGAGGAACACAATTGAAGCAATGAATGGCCAGAACCTTGATGATCGTAACATCACTGTTAATGAAGCTCAATCACGCGGAAGCGGCGGCAACAGCGATTTCGGAGGTGGCCGACGGGGTGGTGGTGGCGGATACAATGGCGGTGGTGGATACAATGGTGGTGGCTACGGTCGACGTGAAGGTGGCAATGGTGGTGGTTATGGAGGTGGCCGTGACCGCGGATTTGGTGGTGGTGGTGATCGTTATGGTGATGGTGGATCCCGTTACTCAAGAGGTGGTGGTGCATCAGAAGGAAGCTGGAGGAATTAGGTAGATATAATAAAATTCTGAAATTGGGTTTAATAGTCTAAAATATGTCATAGTTTTGGTTTGGAAACTATGTTTTTGTGTTGGGTTTTTGTTAGTGTTGTGGTTTCTTGCTATTGGCTCGTTATGTTACTGTGAGGGATCTGTGCAAGGTTCAATCATCAAAGTTATAAATGATCAACCCCTTTTCTATTTGGTGTGTATTCGTTTATTCACTCCTCCAAATCAATAGTTAGAATCGAAAAAAAGCTTATTAATTTACAGATTTTGATAACAGTTTAAATTTTTTTTGTTTATCCGGTTATTAATTTTAATAATTTGAAGTTTGTTTTTAACAAGTGAACCGATAATCAATAGTAAATTTATATATTATATTTATGTCATTCAATATATATATATATAGAGTCTTTGTTTCATACTTTTATTTTTGACAGTTTCTCGATTATGCTACAAGGTGTGAGTATTTGTTTTGGAGTAATATGCAATTTGTAAACTTATGTGCATAGTTCATTTGGTTTGTCATACATTTTGTCACCTTGTTTCTTAAATCAATAAACAAACCGATAAACCAATAACTTATATCTTAATAGTTCTATAATGCTCTAAGATACAAACCGATAAGCCTATAAATTTAGCTGATAAACTTCAAAACTGAATCGAACCGACCAATATATATGTCTACTTCACCTTTTTAGTCGATTCCAAAAAGAATAACCCATTTTTATATTTTAGTACTCTCCTTCTGTAACTTTACTTGTCACATTTGAACTTAACACTTTCACTATTAAAAAACAATAATCCACATAATAAAGGTAAAAAATGTAAAAACTATATTATTTTTTCTTAATAGGTTATGTTGTGACGAAAAGATGAAAACGAAAATCTAAAAATAAAGAACACCAAGTTTATTGTGAAAAAATCCTTCAAACCGAAGGTAACACCCATGGGATAGACAAGATAGGAATTGCTTCACGATAATAATAAGAGGGTTACAAATATTCTTGGCTACACAACAAGTGCCAAAATAGAACAAACAATAGCTACACCAACAAAAGATAAATAGAAAGAAACACCACCCAAACCCAGCTGCTGTTCGGGATCTAAAACAGGATCCTTCTGACCAACGAATCCAATCTTCACCGTTCAAATCAACCAACAAGATGTAAGGAACACTCAGGCAAAATTTCAGCCCGATCCAACTGTTAGTTACTCGGTAAACACGATCTGAAGATTGTTGATCAGAGAAAAGACTGCAGCAAAAGAACCATTTTTCTTCTCTCTTCTCTCTTGTTGAAAGCTCTCTCAAAAACCTCTTTTATGTCCTAATGTCTTTCAAAGACATTACTAATGATCAATTGAATTATTCTCTCAAAACTATCCTCTATTTATAGACTTGTGCTTTTCCTTACAAAGCCAAAACCAACTCCTAATAGAATTACAATTCCAATCATTTTCCTAATAGAATCAGAAACTAAATAAGGAGAATAATTTCAATCCTTTTCCAAGTAGAATTACACCATGGGCCTTTGGCTGGAACATGGGCCATAGCCCAACAAACTCCCCCTCCAGCCAAATGGCCAAATGGACTTCAAGTGGAGGAACTTTTGACATGCTTCATGCCAGCCACACTTCTACAAAAATCATGCTTATCTACGATGCTTCTTTCCACTTATCTTTATGAGTATCTAACTTGACTTCATTATAACTTTCAAATTCTCCTATGGCAGTCAAAAGAATATACTCATTAAAAGAATAACGTGTTGAGCTTCACTTCTCCCCAGTGGATCTTCTACAAGAGGTTTCTAGAGCATCCAAAGTAGTCATCTCATGATCAACCACAACATTATCAATAGGAATATCTATAGGTTCTACACCCTGATCATTATCTGCATCATTATCTTGAATTACTTCATGTGCAAAAGATGTATCAATAATAGGAACTGGATCAACAATAAACTAAGCTCTCATCAATCTAAGAATCTAGTTTCTCAACCTTGTTAATATCTTCAATAGTTTGATCTTCAAAGAACACAACATCACGACTTTCAATGAGCTTCTTATCAATTGGATCATAAAAGTGATATCCAAACTCATTTTGACCATAACCAACGAAGATGCACTGCTTAATTTTAACATCCAATTTTGACCTCTCATCTTTTGAAACATGCACATAAACGTTACACCCAAACACTTTCAAGTGATCATAAGAAATATCCTTCGCAAACCAAACTCTGTTTGGAACATCACCATTCAAAGTAATAGTAGGAGACAAATTGATAACATAAGCAACAATGTTAAGTGCTTCCGCCCAAAATAGATTTGGAAGTTTAGCCTCTCAAATCACGCATCTAACTCTCTCAACTAAAGTTTTATTCATCCTTTCTGCCAAGCCATTTAATTAAGGAGTCTTCTGATGACGAATTCATTGCGATTTGCAGTAGTTATCAAAGGGATCAATATACTCACCACCATTATCAGTGCGAATATATTTTAATTTCTTTCCCGTTTATCTCTCAAATAAGGCTTAAAACTTCTTAAACACATCAAATACTTGATCGTTGAATTTTAAAGGATATATCCATATCTTGCGAGAATGAACATCAATGAAAGTTGCAAAGTAAAGCGCACCACCTTTTGACTTCACTTTAAAAAAGGACAACACAAATTAGAGCATACAAGCTCCAATAGCTCAAACTTTCTTGAAGGAGAATGACTGTGAAAATAAACTCTTTTATGTTTCTCAGCTAAGTAATAAACACATCTTTTTACTTTTGTTTGTTTCACACCAGCAAACAAATTCTTCTTAGCCAAGCGGGTGATCCCCCTGTCGCTCATATGACTAAACCTCTTGTGCCACAATTATGATAAAGTCTCGCTTTCCACCAAATTTATAGAGTCACCAAGAATTGATCCTTGTGTCGCATATAAATTTTAATGCTTTCTTTCTCGAGCGACAATCAATGAGCCTTTGGTGAGCTTCCATTGGTCATTGAACAAGTCATTATGATAGCCATCATCATCTAGTTGTCCTACAGATATCAAATTCACGGAAATGTCTGGAGCATGCTTGACATTTTGAAGGACTGACGTTGAACCAATATTGGTTTTCAAACACACTGTGCCAACACCAAACACCTTAACCTCACCAACATTACCCATCTTTAACACCTTAGAGTTAACAGAAGTATAAGATGAAAATAAGTCTTTTCTTGGTGTGACATGTGATGTAGCTCCATAATCTACTATCCAAATTGTATCTTGAAATACAAAATTGATGACATCTTTATCATAAGCGAAGAGAAGGTCATCTCGGACAACAACATTGTTTCCGTTATTTTCTTCTTTCTTCCATTCTTTAAGATCTTGCTTTAACTGCTTGTAAAATCTTCTAATATGTCTTTTCTTTCCACAATGATGTCATATAATATTTTGATTCCTGAATCTTGACTTGTTTCTACTTTTACCTCTACTCATCGGATCTCTTGTCTTAACGTGGTTCGATCAATCGACCTACATCCATAAAAGAGATGAGCAATCCACTATATAAATATGAGAGTACAAAATATAAAGAGAAATAACTTCAACCAATTCACTCAGAATACATGGAGGTTCACACAAGTGATAACGTATCAAACTTGTGTCCCACAAATTCTCCCACTAACCAAAACACTCAAAGCCCCTAGAACTATATTGTGAATGTTGATTAAGTTAGAAGGAACAAACATATATATATATAAGGACAAAATTGTAACTTGACTATGCTAATCATTGTTGCCTTAATATGTGTGTCATTTCTAAAGTGGACAACTAAATAGGGACGGAGGGAGTAGTTGGTATCCCTATTTACCGGTCTGGGACGGTACGTACCAAATTTCCGAATGGACGGCCATCGGTCCAATTTTGATTTTGATAGTTTTCCTCGCGTACGACGCTATTTCTGGACTGGTGCTGGTCGATGCTGGTATGGTAGTCCCGATCCTAGTCCCGTTGCCACCCTTACAAACAAGTAAACATACCTTCTTAGTAGTGTTGCGGAGCTCCACTTTTTTGGAAGTTGTCCAATTCAGAGGTTCATCAATATTTTATTGTAGATAGATAATGGATAGGCTCCCTATCCTAATCAAATATATTATTCTTAGAGCTTGTAGACTTCGCATTATATAATTAATTGTCGACCTTGTTACTTTTGTACGATCTCATAACAGTCTTGATAGCCTTATATATACTAGCATGTTGTGATCCTAGATATTATAGTGACCTTGACAGATCACATAACCATTATAATATTACAAATATCATGATGACCTTGATCACTCGCCTAAAAATTTCTTTATTTGCATATTTTCCAGTCTTTAAATAAAGGAGGGAAATCAAATTGTAACAAAGATTTAAAAAATTGGAAGATCAAGAAGACAAAAAGAGGTTTTCTTCAAAAAAAAATCCATATTATATTAAAACATCTTTAGAAATGTTGGTTAATTTTTTTGCTCTTATACTATTATAGAAGAGTGATTTAAGTTTGTGGTATCAACATGTGTGCTTAGCGTTATTTTTTATTCTTAGGTGATATTTTGTCATTTCATGATTAGTTGTTAGTATAACTTTTTTGTTTTTTCCACATGCATAATATTAGGAGATCCACAAAATTATTTATGCACAATTACTATTTGTTCTATTCTTTCATATTATTTGTTTTTCTTTTTTAAAACTCTTTAAAAGTTCATAAATAAGAAGAATATTATTATTAATATACTTTTTAACTCTTTTTAATACCTTCTTCATTTACTTTTACTTATCATATTTGGATTTGACATATCTATTAAGAAAATAATGATTGACATGTCTATTTTACCACACTATCCCTAATAATTGATGCTGATTATTAAATATTAAAATATAATTTGAGGAATAAGTAATTAATATTAAGTATAAAACATGAAAAAAACCTATATTTTCTTGATATAACTACTAAAATTTGAACCCTTCATTTTATCTATGAAAAATCGAGCACACATTAAGTCGTTCGCCTGAACTCAAAATTATAGAACTATAACAAATCCTATTTGAATCAATTAAATTATAATTTAAATAATATTATTTAAATTAATTGAATTATAATTCAACAAATTTTATTAAAATTAATCTAATTATAATTATTTTTATTACAAAATCATTTTCCATAAGGCCCGTGC